AGATAGATAGCTATCCTGATAAAGAGGAAAGATGGGAGGCCCCAGGCCCTTTTTTATTATTGTAGAAGAAACACCCTCCCCCTTGGAGAGTGTTACAGCTTGATTGGCTATGTTAGGTTCCTACCCCAGGTACCATCGTCTAAATTAGCAATTAAGAGAAACACAGGAAAAAAATATACATATATAATTTTTTTGTTGTTTTCTGAGACAGTCTCACTGTGTAGTTCAAACTGACCTGGAACTCACTATGTAGCCCAGGCTGGTCTCGAACTCGCAGCAATCCTCCTGCCTTAGGCTCCCGGATGCTGGGATTACAGGCTTGCACCACCATGCCTGGTTCTCCAAAAACAGTATTTTTAAAAATTTATATACATATGAAGCTGGGCATGGTTAGAGAAGGTGGGAAGGACAGGGCTCTGAGCAGGCTCAAGCGACAGCTTTTGTCCCATGCAAACAGCTTGGGCTGAGGCCCAGCTGGAGGAGTGGCCGTGAAAACACGCAAGCCCCCAGGACCTATTGGTCCACAGACAGCAGCCACGCTGCTTGACCTTGTCCATTCTCTATCCAGCCCCAGGAAATGACAAGTAGACTTCCATGACCGCAGTTGTACTCACAATGAGCTTGGGTCCTGTTACACTTATGCAGGAAATCACCCTTCTTTCTTCACACTTGGCTTGTAATGCAATTCTGAATGTGGTAGCAAAGGTTTAGAACAAGCTACAACAGGATCCAGTGACAGCTCCTGTTATAAGAATCTGTTTCCTGGTATATGCATGCATGGAAATAGCATAATGAAACTGATTATTCTCTACAAATGATATGTTATAAATTTAAAAGCCTAGGGCCAGGGATTTATCTCAGTGCTTCCACGGCCTGTCTCACAAGCACAAGGGCCTGAGTTTGATCTCTGGTACCAAAAATACATATAAATAAATTGAAAAGCCTGCCTTCAAATCCCTGTGAGATAATTGCTATTAACACATGTAAACTCCTCCCTTCCAGAGGTGTCTTGGGACTTTTGGACCATATTTTGGAATTAATGTGGGGGACAAAAGGATAGTCAGCATGAAGCCCTGTTAACGTGGAGGGGATGTGACCAGGTTCCTGAGACTGAAATAAGGAACCAATCCAACCCTTAAATAAGTTTTGGGGTGTTACAGAAAAAGAAACATGAAAAAGAGACTGAAAAGGGTTTATCTGAACACGCTCTAGTCTGTCTTGTTTTTTTGGTACGAGGGATCAAACTCAGGACGTTGCGTTTGCAGAACAACTGAGCTAAATCCTTGAGTTCCGGCACTCAAAAAACAAGAACACAGAGGAAAGGAGTCCGTAAAAGGGAAAGGCCTCATTCACCTTTAGGCTTTCTGGCTAATCCAACCCAGAAAGAGTTAAAATTTTACGGAGGGCGCAATTAACAGGAAACTTTGAAGAGGGCCACACCCCTTTAGCTTCAGCCCCTCCCCACCTTACCGAGAGGACCGGGAGAAGCCATTTATTTATTTATTTTTTGGCACTGGGGATTGAACTCGGGTCCTTGTGCTTGCGAGGCAGGGAGCAGAACCACAGAGCTAAATCCCCGGCCCGTGGAGAAGCCATTTAAAAGACAGTTCTTTTTTTTTTTTTTTTTTTTGGGGTTT